CAAATCTCATGTGGTAGAGCTTAGAAGTAGAAACAGCTCTATCAACAATGAGATATCAAAACCTAAAGAGTTTACAGAGAGAATTGAAGAAGAAGAAGAAGATTACACAAATTGATAATTTCTGGTTAATTCCCTGCAAATGAAGATCATTTGCTATATATCTCTGCTTCTCGATTCTTCCTCTAACAATGCCATCAGCCACTCATCTCTTGCCACGTCTCACAGCTATTGTTTCCACTCATCTACAGCCACGTGTCTTTATGATATATCAATGCCTCGTTTCCTATATCAAATCCTCCCCCTTTGAGAAAACCTTGTCCTCAAGGTTTAGTAGTAGGAATTTCTAATGCAGATCATAACCTCTGCAGCTCTTTAATGCTATGATGTTCTTTCTGGTTCTTTCACCAACACATCTTGAAGGCCAAAGGTTCCCTGTTGTTTATACTTAAAACTCCAAGTTTTGGGAACTTTTCTCCGTTTCACCGTGACTCTTATCATTGCTTGCCAAACGAAACTGGGACAAAGAGAAAGCAAAAGATGTTTGCTCTGCATCTTGACTACTCGGATTTGTGCATAAAGACCAGATTCTTTGTGACGCCTGAAGTGGCTAGTTCCCGCAGGTTTAGAACTCATCCTGAATTTGAACATCCAAGACTTTGGAGATAGTCTTCGCTTCCGTTTATGAGACTTGTCACATGTGGACTGCTCACAAAACTCAGCCACTGCAGAGTGGAAATCATCAAAGAGTGGACTCAAAGAGTCTGCTACGACAAGTTGTTGATCCGAAATGACCATATGCATATCAAAATCCCCTAACAGTTTATGTTGATGGCTGGATTCCATGACAAAAATTGATACCTGAGGTTGTGCAACACAACTTGTCTCCATTTTTGATTCAATTGACTCCGATTCAAGTCCTGAAACTGAATCAGTTTCCAGTAATGCTTCTGTGGCATAAATCGCTTCATGTTGCTGCTCACAAATCCATTCTTGTTGCTGCAACAAAACTGCCACCAAATTATCCCCTTCAGAACCTCCTTGACTGGATTGTTGTTTAGCCTCCAAAGAGCACATTAACATCGGTTTCTCCGTAGGAACTTCGTGAACACATATCATGGAAGGTTGAACTTGATCTTCTCTCAGCTTAATAAGCTTTAATGCTTTCACGTCTCTGACGGAGCCTTGCCTAATACCCTGAAGAAGGACCTTTTTATGTCCTAAACGAAACTGCATCTCTAACTTCTTAAAATCACAAGTTATTGGCCCCAATGTCTCCATCCACTGAACACCTAATACCATATCACACCCTCTCAAGGGAATTACCATAAGATCAGCCTGGAATTGTGTGCCTCTAAATTCCCATTGGAACCTATCTATTTTAGCATCAACCCTCAACATTCTTCCATCAGCTACTGAAACTCGAGCCATACTTGCAGGTTTTAAATCACATTTCAACTTCTCAGCTACCTTGGGATCCATGAAGTTGTGTGTAGAATCTAGGTCAATGATTATGTACAATACTTGATTCTCATAAGAACCCTTCACTCTCATCATTCGATAATCAGAGACTCCTGAAACTGCTTTAACAGAAATATGAGCTATTACTCCAGTTTCCTCCAATTCAACCTTCTTTGCATGTACTTCTTCCAATTCCCCACCATCCTCTTCAGCCCCAAATCGTGGATTTTTGTACTTCTCATCACCAAAATAACAAAGTTTTTGATCCCTTTGCTTACTCATATCTTTAGTGGATAAGACTTTGTGAGGCTGCGTTGTAGTATCCTTAGGTCTCTCCATACTAGTAAGAAGAACTGTTTTATGATCAGGCTCCGGTTTAGATGATAAAATCCCTTTAGACTGACTGGCACTTCCACTCCATTTAGCACCAGACCAAGTGTTTACATTGTTCTTCTTGGGATGTGCTCGCTCATACAATTTTCCAATCAAGAAACATTGTTGAATCGTCTGAGGTTGAAACATCTTGACATTCACTTGAGTATCATTTTCCAGTCCTGTCAAATACAGACTTACCAAGTAATCTTCATCTAACTTCACTCTAGTGCTAATCGACTCGAAACGAGCATGATAAACCTCAATTCCTTCAGTCTCCTCCAACAGTTTCAGTTTTGCAATCGAATCATCCACATGCTTATTATATCTCACTTGCAACAGCAGTTTGTAACTCCACCAATCATGCCTAACATGTTTCCACCACATTGATTGTACAATTGATTGGTGCAAAGTAGCAACAATGTTATCGAAATGTATTGAAGCAATATCAACTTTCAATTCCTCCGGAGTACGGTCAATTAAAAAGAATTGTTCAATCTGAAACAACCAATCCAAGATTTTATCACCATGAAATCGTGGAAAATCAACTGTCTCTAACCTTTCAGGATCGGCGTATCTCGAACGCGATCGGAACCACATATCTGCTACCGTTTCACGAACCACTGCGGTCGCTTCTCGAACCACCGTCTCCTTGATTGGAGCTTGCGATCTTGTCTTTGCCATTGATTCCGAGGAAACGAATGGCTCTGATACCATTGATGCAGAGAAACTGCAACTCAATTTATCACTTTGAAAATCAACACAAATTGAATCGTCGTTCATAAAACGAGAATCCAAATCTCATGTGGTAGAGCTTAGAAGTAGAAACAGCTCTATCAACAATGAGATATCAAAACCTAAAGAGTTTACAGAGAGAATTGAAGAAGAAGAAGAAGATTACACAAATTGATAATTTCTGGTTAATTCCCTGCAAATGAAGATCATTTGCTATATATCTCTGCTTCTCGATTCTTCCTCTAACAATGCCATCAGCCACTCATCTCTTGCCACGTCTCACAGCTATTGTTTCCACTCATCTACAGCCACGTGTCTTTATGATATATCAATGCCTCGTTTCCTATATCACTATGGGACGTTCAACATTCAGGTAATATGCTCTCCTGTCGAGGACAAAGGCATTCTCATTTCATCCTCTCTAGGTTGGATAGGTGTCTTGCAAACATAGCCTGGTAAGAAAAGTTCCCCTCAGGGAGATGCAGGTACCTTCGCTTCGAAGGTTCAGACCACAAGCCGCTTATTACTAACTTTGATCCCACATAGGTTAAAGCTAAAGGTTTGTTCCGTTTAGAGGAAAGAAAGAAATAAGGAATCTAGTCTCAGATGCTTGGAGAGCCAGAGAATCAGAGACTCTGTTATCAAAGTTTAGTCGGTGCAGTCGAGAGTTGATCTCTTGGACAAAAAAGCAAAAACAATTAAAAGTACAAGCTATTAAAGAGGACCAAGAAGCCCTTGAATCTGCATTATCGGCGTTAGTGCCTAATAATGATTTGATAAGCGCGCTCACGGCTAAGCTTGCTGTAGCCTACGTGGAAGAGAAATCTCTATGGCGTCAAAGAAGCAGAATTTTATGGTTGCAGGAAAGAGATAAGAACACTAGTTTCTTCCATGTTGTAACAAGAAGAAGGAAAGCTATGAATCACTTCTCAGTGATAGAAGATGAGGATGGACTTGAATTGTTTGAAGAAAAACAAATAGCTGCGTCAGTCTCGGCCTTTTAAGAAAATCTTTTCACGTCAGCTTCATTGTCACAGCCACATATCACTGACTACATGAACACTAAGCTTACAGCCATGCAAAACGAAAAAGAGATCCATGATGCTGTCTTAGATAATCATGCTGACAAAGCTCCCGGACCAGACGGTTTTTCTACAGGTTTTTACCACTCTTTCTGGGAGATAATTGGCAAAGAGGTCTCAAGAGAGATTTTGGTTTTTTTTTTTTTTTTTTTTTTTTTTTTTTTTTTTTTTTTTTTTTTTATTTTTTTTTAATTAATTATATTCATTTAAAAAAACCTCTTAATGGGCCTGGGGTTGAGGCCTTACAAGCAAACGAAGGACACAAAATAGAGACATGGAATCCGGCGACTACACCAGAAGACGAGCTCTCATCTCGGCGGTGGCCGGAAGCAGAGACACCTACTTAGACCGGCAAATACAAGGACTAGTGATTCGCGGTTCCATCGGCAAACCAACTCAATGACCGGAGTATTTGGATCCTATCACCGAGCCGATCTAACCGAAAAAACCTGAGCCCTCACCAAACCTCCCGGAATAGGATTGCCTCCAACAGACCGGAACCCTAACTTTGAATCCCAGACCTAGCAAAACAAAGAACTAGTCAGATTTAACCCCCATCCTCCGACTGTAGCCACCATTGGAACCTCCTCCGAGCCAACTACCAACAGATCCGGACCGGTGAAGACGAAACGCGGAGGCTGATAAGGACGGTGGCTCGACCCATCCTTCATCAACCCAAAACCCACGAGCAGCCAACTCGGGATTCAATAAACCGCCGTAGACACCCAGACACACGACTCATCCCACCACCCCGCCAGCGACTTCCGCCGCAAGCTGTAGCAATCCACGAACAGGTGAGCCGCGAGAAGCTTCAAACCAGTTCCTCTAGCGTCCTTGACCAGAAGAACCAGAGGCGAAACCTCTCCAAACCGACATGAAACCACCACAGCCGCATCGCTAACAGGAGATTCGTCGTCGGCGGCAATAGTTCGCTCACCCTCTTCATCCACTTGCAAGCCTCAACCCTGCAATTAAGCTCAAAGATTTTCCAGATCTAGATCTAAAACGTTGTTTTGCCTTCAAGAAAGAGAGAGAGAAGCGCAAATATCTAGGCAACGATTGTGCCTCTTCGAAGAGAGAGATTTTGGTTTTATATCATGAACACGCTTATTCTTGTTATTAATTTGGCCATAGTTCCCGGAAAGAATCATGTGACCTCTTTGCGAGATTTTAATTAAAACCTAGGCTAGCTTTGATCCTCTAACAGCCGATGGTAGCAAAACTAGACAGCCTAATCAGCTCGTCAAGAAATTCTTTGTCTAGTTAATCATTTGTGTATGCCTTGTTTGCTCTAACATCCCATATCGGCTGTATCAACAAAACTCTTATGCATCCACATGACACACATAGCTTGTCCCTTCGGGGACATCCGTTAAAAATGGAACGATACAGAGAAGATTTGCATGACCCCTGCGCAAGGATGACATGCACAAATCGAGAAATTTAAGATCCAATTTTTTTTTTTCTCTTTTTCAAACAGAAAATAACAATGTCAAGAGCTATTGTAATCTTCAGATATTTTTGTAGGTACCCTTGGTATATATAAATATTTTTTGCTGAAGCTATATATGAGCTATTGTAATCTTTAGAAATCATAAACGCAAGTTACAAAATGGTCATGGTCGAGGAACGCAGCTGATTCTATGCTCCACTTACGTATACCAAACTCAAGAAGGTCATATGGGTTCTCTAGATCTTGAGAGACTAACGTGAAAACATTAATTTATTAAAGGGTTTTCTGCAAAACAATCCTCTAAGTCAATTTCGTTTGCAAGTTTACCTTTCAAGTCCAAATTATACAAATCAATCCCATAATCTCAAAAGTCACCCGTAATACTGCCCTCCCGTGTAGCGATGACGTGGCACCTGATAACTCCGTTTGAAAACATAAGGAGATTTTGCAAAAAAAACCTCCATATAATGTTTTTTTGCAAGATAAACCTCAAAAAAAAGGCACCTGCAATACTTCCCTTCCGTGTAGCGATGACGTGGCAACCAATAACTCCGTTTGAAAACATAAGGGGCAAAAAACTCCTCCATATAATGTTTTTTTTTGAAGACAAACTTCCACGTCAAATAAATGCAGGTCAAACCACAATCTCAAAAATCACATGCAATATAGTCTTTCCGTGTATCGATGACGTGGCAATCGATAACTCATTTTATTTAATGTAGTATGTAGGAGTATCATGCATCTCGAACCTCAAATTAGTTAATTCTTCCATCTAGGGCATATCGCATATGGAAATGGTGGGATGAGCCTATGATGGAAGAATTAACTAATTTGAGGCTCGAGATGCATGATACTCCTACATACTACATTACATAAAATAGGTTATCGATTGTCACGTTATCGATACACGGAAAGGCTATATTGCAGGTGACTTTTGAGATTGTTGTTTGACCTGCATTTATTTGACATGCAAGTTTGTTTTGCAAAAAAAAATTACATGGAAGGTTTTTTTGCAAAAATCCCTTATGTTTTCAAACGGAGTTATCGGGTGTCACGTCATCGCTACACGGGAGGGTTGTATTGCGGGTGACTTTTGAGATTGTGGGGTTGACTTGCATAGTTCGAACTTGGAGGATAAACTTGCAAACAAAATTGATTTAAAGGGTTGTTTTGCAGAAAACCATTTATTAAATAAGTACTAGTTATATCATAAGAAGCTTGTTTTGGCGTTATGGCTTCACTAAGGGATCCATTGTTTCACTTTATCTGAGAATGAGTAACTGTGCTATGTTTTTTACACCTTCTTTTTCGGCAGAGCTCAAACGTTTAGGTCTTAACCCATGTAACACCTATTTTTCATTTTATATGATATTCACAAGTTTAGCAAAAAACAAAAAAAATAATTAATCATAAAATATCCATACGATACAATGATATGATACAATGAAATAAGAACCAATATAGATAGTTGAAATTAAATAGTTTTCATTTAGCTAAGCTATACGATTCAATTATATGTGAGTGTGTACATAGATAAATGTATTTAAAGCAAATGATGCATCCCCTGATTATTTATTCAAATTCATAGTCTTAATAGTTGTTGATGAATAGTCATTCTTCCTTGCTAATATTTGTTTCCCCACAACCAAATCTAAACGTGGGTTTGTCGGGAAGAACTGATGAGAGCAGCGACGGGCCCAATAAAGGCGGCGTTGATGTAAGTTGTGGGCTCTGCATGAGAATAATCTGTTCTTTTGTCGCTATACTGGTCGGATGAATTCGGTCCGCCAACGATTGCACCGGTATGGACATTCGGGTTCGGTGTATCAGAATTGTAGTATGAATATCCTCCATTGCAGTCGATTTTCTCCGGTTTAGATTGGATTGACGGTAATGACGAGCCTCTATGATGAGGTTGAGTTGGGTACTTTGTTCCAAATCCAACCATGTAAGACATTTTCAATGGATTATTTCCAAGGATGTAATCAACCTGAATATTAAACCGGTTGGTTAAGAACATGGAAATGGTGTACAGAACCGGACTAGGTGGGGATAATTTAATTTTGTTTACCTGTAATTTGGCGAAATTTCGAATTTGAGATGCGGTGAACTGGGTCGAACCGCATTGGATTGAACCAACCCGGGCTTTGGTGAGAGTTTTTGAGTAATGGAACAAAACAGTTGTAGCCGTTGTTACATATTGTAAGTTGCTACTGTCTCTAATAAACAAAATGCCACCTAAATAAACAAAAAATACAAATAAATGTTACCATAAAACCAACACCAAAGGGAAAAAAAGAACTCAAAACTAATTAACAGGTGAAAATTACCAGGAGTTGGCTTAATTTGTTGAGTGCTACTTCCTGGCATCAATGCACAGACGAATGATTCAACATCGGTCTTAAATTTTTCCAAGTCATTTGCCCCGTTGTAAAAGTCCTTAATATAAGAAAATAACAAGAAATATTAAATTAGATCAACTAATTAATGTTATAGAATTTAGCGAAATCGGTTCAGCTAATACTATCTACTTTTAAAATTAGTTGTCGTTTAAGGTTTTTTCACACTTATTAAGAAAACATTCAATTTTTCTATTTTACCTCTAATTAATTAATGTATTGTTTTATATGATATCATCAATTAATAAGCTTAAGAGATTAGAGATTAAATTGAAAATTTTGTTAAAAATATGCATTAAAAATTTAAAACGACGACAACTAATTTGGAACAAAATTTATCTTCTAAAATGACAAATAATTTAAAACGGAGGAAATATATACTAACCGATGCGAGTAAAGCTTGAACACCGGCGAATTTGTTGTCCCAGCTAAATTCATTCACGGCTTGGCTCCAATCTTTATTGCTTATAACATAATTTAAGTAACTCTTTTCCCCTGTTGCTTTGTATAACCAAGCCGCAGCCCACAAAAGTTCATCCTATTTTTACCCCAAAATATTTTAAAACATAAAGTGTATTGTTAAGTAACTCATTTAAGTAAACATGAAAATATATCTATGTGTATCAGTTTGATTACCTGATAGCCTGAGTGTGAGCAGTAGAAGGGGCAAGATGCTTGGTAAGAACCTCTGTACTTATCCGCAAATTCAAATAGCTGCCACAAAATAGATAATTTATACGTTACCTTATGATTGAATTGATGTAATGATTTTTTATGGACTTAATACGAATATATACTCACGGATTTAGCATGGTTGAGTAACTTGGATGAATAAGTAGAATCGACCCGTTTGAAAACAAGTGAGGCCGCGGCAAGAGCGGCTGCGGCTTCACCCGCGGCTTCGGAACCGGGGGAAGAGGAAGAGATGCTGTAGAGAGTTCTAGGTGTGTCCATATCTTCTGGCCTCTCCCAACAACTATGATCTGAATTTCCATCTCCCACCTTTTTTATATCCATTACAAAACAAAACAAAAAATAATTACTCGAATTTCGATAGTGAATTTGTTGAATATTATAGAGGTATATAGTATATAAGATACGAGATATATACTGTATTTTGGATATTCAGCATGAAATGAAATATTTTGGAATAATTCTCAAACAAACCAAAATGTGACAGTTCGGCTTGGTTTACCTGTGTATATAGCATGTTGGGCGAAGTATGAGCGCGGAGGATAAAATTGGTTCCCCATTTGATAGTAGACCGTAGATAACCAAGCTGGTTAACGGAAGTAATCTCATTTTGGTATTCAATTGCAGCCCAACTCAACAAGGTTGTGGTAAATGACATTGGCCACACAAATTTTACATTGTCACCAGCATCGTAATATCCTCCAATCAAATTCACCTGGAAAATAAAAAACACAAGAAAATTGGTTAAGTCTAAGAGATAGCATAATGCCAAAACTTATGAAATAAGGTTCCACATATATGCAAATAGAGATGTTTATGAATATAATCGGTTTACATTAGCTGATGCACCGTCAGAGAGGGCAGAATCAGCTCGCCATTTAACCCGTTGGTTAGTCGGGAGTTTACCGGATCTTTGGCCTTCAAAGAACAAGATTGACTTGTTTAGTGCATCTCCATAGTCAAGAGCTTCCAAGCTTTCGAAAGCCAAGAACATCCCAACTAACATTAATACCAAGAGCTTGCCCATTTTTATTACTAGAACTGGTTTTAGAATAAATGTTTCTCTTTTGAAATGGGTTATGAGTGTGTCTTGATTTTGCATGAAAAGTGGTTCATGAGGGTATTTATAGATATCCCATGCAAGTAAAGTTGGGTACGTAATTTCATTTTATGAGATGTTTCACGTAATTTTAGGGTAATTTTGGCTGCACTGTTAATATGTTCTCTAACAAGAATTAAGTTTCGATGATTACAATTAAAGTTTTTCGATATAGCAAGTTATAGTTATTGACATTTCACATCGTATTCTTCTTTTCTAACCACCATACTTTATTTTTTCTCTTCAATTTGTGGAGGTTTATAAATCGTTATTTATTAGTGTAGGAGTTTCGATATAATTTCATTAGAAAGGCGCGGTTCTGGTTCATTTACAGCAAAACAAAAAAATATCGAATCACTACTTAATTTTTAAATGGTTTTTTTTTGTTATTGTTGTTTTTTATTGAAACTGGTAAACAATATGTTACTGTAAAACCTATATCAATTTAAATCGGCATCTTAAGAATCAAATACTTATTATAGGTCCTGTAATATCCATAAATTTGGAAGGTCATACGCAAAAATATATTGTTGTAAAAATTTAAAAATACTTCGTAATTAACGATCCAAAATTGTGTATAGGTATGTATCTGACACTTGACTTAAAAAAGGGTCAAAAACTCAAAATCAAATACGCCGATTCGATACCTAGACTTTTGGATATACAAGCAAAATAACAAATAATAGTCAAATAAAACCCCCATATTTTTCATGGATAATGTATGTATCCCAAAATCCAAGTTCGCCAAGATAAACAAAGAAATATTTCACATGATCGAAAAGAAAAAACAAACTTCATTTCCTAATTCCCTTTATA